ATGTGTCTCCATCCACTTCCTGAAGTGCAGTTTCAAAGTTCAAGAATCAAAGCTTTTACTTGTGAGGCAAGACTGGAAGTTTAGGGGTGATTTCCTTAGAACACAAAGGGTTGGGAAAAAGATTTTGAAACTCATAAAAAAGTAAACAAGAAATTATTTCAACTAGTCAGTGAGTGAATACCTTAATAGATTTAAGGCGATTATCAAAAGAGTCAAGGGAGAGGTTGGGAGAATTATTTTACACAGGTTACTTGGATATAGTTGAGATAGACCTCATATTAGCTTTTAAGAGGGAATTAGGTAAGTATCTGAAAAGGAGATATATGAAACAGTTTGGGGAAAAGACAGTAGAGTGGAACTAAACAGATAACTCTTTCAGAGAATTTTATCCAGTATATGAATTGTTACTCTATGCAAAGTGCACAGACACAGAAATGATGTAAAAAAAGAATTCAAATGAAGAACATGTTTATTTTCTGCTATTTTTGGTGTGGTAATAAAGTGAAAGGCTAATTTGTATCATTTTTTTCAGAAATGCACAAACACTGTAAAAGTGTTACAGGCATCATGATGCCACCACTCCTCATGGACATGCCACCTCCCAGCAGATAGACTTAACATTCTCCAGAACAGACTCATAGAAGGGAAAATAATGAAGTGGTTTAATTGGAACTATGCTTCAAAACCGAAAACATTCTTCCTTCACATAATAAATACATTTTATGCACCTGTACTTCAAATGTCAGAACTATTTACAATATAAATAAATCTAACAGGAAACACTTTATAGGATCTCAGGGATTAACTATACAAATCATAGTCTTCTATATGGATACACAAAAGGAACTTGGCACCATTTTACAAATTGTATTCACATTGACATGTACCACAAGGCTACCATCAACTGTACATGATTAAGTGGGGCAGGCAGAATTCATTCAGAACAGTAACATTTCCAACAGAATATAATCAAGGTTTTCTTTATCAGGACATTAAAATACAGAGTGAACATGGCAATTCTTGACCTATCCACGTTCAAAGCCCCCTCTGTTACCCTCCAGATAGACAGGTATTCTGTGGGAGTCTGACATGGCAGTTTACAAAACCAATGCAGCAATTAGTTAACATTAAAGGGTGTGGATTATGTGAGGTTAGTCTCCTTGAAAGGTGAACGAAAATAATTAAAACGTCCAACACTAAACTGAGTAAACTGATATTGTGAAAATGTGTGAAAACAGCTTATTGAAGCCTACTAAGTGATTGCTAACTCAGGCTTGAATAAATGCAAGCAGAAAATGCTGCTTTTCACCCCAAACAAAACAATAGTTGTTTACCCCTCGTCTTAACGTAGTCTGAGGCACCTTTGAAAGTGTGGCTGAGATTCATTCAACGTCCGACAGTTTACAGAATAAATATAGGATGATCCACCTAGCTGTAGCCCTGAAAAAAATACTTTACCTCTAATTTTATTCTTGAAGTCATTTGACCCACACTCTCAAGTCATAAAGTTATGCATTGGTGGCAAAACCAAATGACCGATTCCTACACTACTACCCTGATAAGAATATTATCTTGCACAGCTTTTAAAATCCAACATAAACAATGAAAATAATTCTGTGTACAATTGAAATTTGCTGTAGGCACAAACAAGTTCTGAAGGTTCACATCTTGTTGATACTCTAGGGTTACTGAGCTGGTAAACTGGCGATATACTGAGCAACTGATACACAAGGGATATTGGGCTGCTATACACTGGAGTTTTGAGCCACTATGCATTAGGGGTAATTGGCCACTGATACAACATGTAATTTCAGAATTAAAGGATGAAATTATGAAACGGGTACCTTCAGCAAGGATGAGGACCTGTAAAGAAGAGAGTCCTATCTTGAAATGACTGAGGAATTGTGCTCCATTGAATGAGGCTGATGTGATGGACGGTCACAGATCTGTGTGTGCAGCTGAATTTGGAGTCATGTTCGCAGTCACAATAATAGAACCTGCCTTCGTCACAACAGCATTCAAATGGTTTGCTTCCAGAGGATTTCAAGCACCCAATGGACACCTTGCCATTGGTGCCAAAGTGAGTGCTTTTAACAGGTAACGAAAGGTGGTGTTGCTTGGAATGCTGGATTCAGCAGTTCACACTAGCATTAGAGACATCAAAAAATCACATAATTTTAAGAAATGAAAAACGAAAAGGAATAATGGTCATTGGGAATCTGTATTAACTTTGTGCCCCAAAATATACAGTCAATTTGCAGTAATCAATTTTATTACCATGTCAATGCATAGCCATGTTGCACTACTTTAGACCCATTAACGTTAACGTTGCATTATTTCCAGAAACAAGCTCCAATGCCACACACAAATGTAGGCATAAAACTTTTTTGCCTTTTTTGAATCATTACTGCCAGGTCCACAGGTGGACTCCAACAATGACAAATTGCATGTATATAGCACTTTTCAATCGCAATTTCATTCCAGCACCTTCACGGGATGGGTGACCGGCCACATTCCTGACAGTGCTGAGGATCACTCTACACTCCAGTGCTAACTCAATTAACCCAGTCATCACATTGTCCAGCAACAACCCAATTAACCCAGTCATCGCAATGTCCATCACCAACTCCGTTAACCCTGCCACCCTGTTGTTGCTGAAGCTAGGTTATTTTTGATAGAATGTATTGACTCTCAAATCTGCATTTATCCCCTTTTTTAAGCCTTTAAATACAGGTAGGCTGGCTAAGAAAAATCTTTTCTAATGTTTACTACTTATCTTCGTATTGGACTCTAGCAAATCATGCAACCTTACAATTACTTTGTTAAATGGCCTTTCAAAGTGTTTCCCCCACCCCGAACGTATTTCACAATTTGTTAACTAATTTCATCCCCAACCAATTTTGGTAAATACTTCAGACTTTTCTATATGTGCACATGTTCGACCTCTTATATGGTCATCAAAACAAATGGTGTGATTTGTGCTTTAAGAGTTGAGGGAGAAATGTTGTCATGTGTTTTCTCTAATCCTTTATATAGTATTTTTGACCTATTGTAGTACAGGGCTGATAAAGTCTCTGTTTACTGATGCCAGAAGGAAATTAAGTGTATGAAAAAATTAACTCTCAGTACAATAATTTACTAGTATATATCTCTTTCCAGTTTTAGTTCAGCATTCCAGTTTTTATCGCTGGTGAATCAATAAGCCAATTTATTTAATATTGACCAAAGCTATAACCTTGTGAGTCACATACTCAATTGTTTTGTCCATTTAAACGGCAATGCAGAAAATAGCAGTTATACGTTAGAAAAGGAAGAAATCTGTCAGGCTTGTGAGGCAGCTGATCTGTGGAAACTGGTTTAAAAAAGACATCTTTTTAAGAAATGAAAGAATTCACCAGAGGGCAGGGAGCTGCTTAAATTAGTGATCATAATATGAAGTTATAATAGTATCTCAAAATGTCAAAGACAAAACTCGTGCTTTAAGAACCGAAATGCTGCTCCGGAAAGTTTCAGCCATTTTAGCCCATAATTAAGCTGCTGTCGCTGATCCTGGCAGCTGTTCCTAACTGCTTGTCATATCATATCATAAACTTGGTGGACAGCCCTGGTGATAGAAAATTTGACTCCCATAAAGAGGTCAAATGATTTCCAATCCCAGGCAGCAACCAAAATTGTCAATTGGGCCCACATGCGGTCTTTGGGAGAGTGTTGCAAATTCACTGCAGTTTCCTCAGTGGAGGGCCAACATTTGGCTAATAATATTGAAATAATAAATATCTGTGTGATGTTATATTGCACAGTTACAGAACACAATCCGTCCATGGTGTCGTCGTCCTAACTAGAATGTATTACATTGGAGGAGGAGTCTCCCATTCAAGGAGGAAATCCAATGCTACAAACTAGATTTTGTCATACCACAATAGGATATGGTTCAAAATATCAGCCAGAAAATTATATTTCTGCTTAAACCTTTTTTTTAAAAATAAGGTTAAGTTCATCTCTAAATTGATCTTTTCACAAACATATGTTAGTATTTGAATAGTTGTATGAAGTAGTTATCATGAACAGGCACTTGAAATAGGGGGAAAAAAAGATTAATTGGTGTAGGTATTACTATAAAATGTAACAACTTGTGCACACACAATAAAAAAAAGATTTTTATATATATATAATCTATTTCTAAATGTTGGTCTGACGCTTTCACCTGTTGATGTTAATAGGTGGAACCACCACATTCAGCACAGGAAGGGTTTCCAGCAAAAGAAAGCAACTGTCTTGTAAAATACGTTAAATGCCTTGTAAAACCTGCTACTGTGTACCACATGTCTTTGATTCAATTAGATCTGCTTAGTCAGTTTACCACATTGGTATCTCCAGTTGCAAACGGAAAGTTTCTGGCTTTCGTTGTCCCATAAATAATCATTTTGGTACAGTTGAAAAATGATATGAGGCTGTATATGAAAATCAAACCCGAATGGTAATCAGTCTTCACTGCTGGCACGGTCTTTGATGCCAAAGTGAGAGCCGCTCTTTGATACATAAAGGTTTCCATAAATCTTTGCCCTTCCATGTTAACTCTATACTTTTTTTCAATGACATTGCTGATACAACACAATTTAGCCTTCTAAGCTCAGCAGTTCAGCTGCAACTGACTCGTGTGAGCAATTTGTTACACAACCGTGGGGTGTCAACACCACCTAGCTATTTATTCATAGTATCGGTATCTATAGATTATTTAGTTAAATATGGTAGTCAGTCCATCATCTTTCCATGCCTAATGGCTGTCCATGTATCTTGTCAAAGGAATTACTCCACCTTACATAAATCTATTTAGTTTAGAAGGTTAAATTGTTACATTGTTCACCACCCCTCCACCCCCATCCATTCACCCACCCTCCTCAGCTTCACCCACAAAATTCTCAATCCTTTACATCATATGCAAATTGTTTGCTTCATGTGTAGAAATGCAGACAAAAATTAGAACCTATGCCCTTGTCGTATTCAACTTTGTTGTAACCAAATTGTCATGCAACATGAATTACACCAGATCTGGTTGACTCCGACTAGTCTGTAGTGCACCTTGCGTATCAGTGTGTATTTCATACACTGCACTGAATCTCAAACGTCATGAAGGAGGGAAGGGTGGAATAAGTGTAGTGCAGAATTGCTATGCACAGGACTGGCACTGACGAGAAGAGTGCATCTATGTCTGATTGTTCGTTTTCAAGCCAGCAAACCGCACTTGTTTTTGCACTGTAAAGCCTATTGCAATTAAACCATCAGCTTCCATTGGTGATTATTACTGATGTGCCCTTGTGGGCATGAGTTGGATCCTGCTGCATTCGCAAGTGAGAAGTCACGTCAATGTGTGCGCCATTGCAGCCCAAAGAGTAATTTTTAATCGTTTCAGTGTCATAGAGATGCTCAAAGGCATATCCAGTCAGTGCATACGTGTGCTTGTCAAAGTACTGCCTGTGATGGGCGGAGTAATAGTTAGGGGATGATGCACAGTTTGCCTCTGTTTGATGAGGGGACATGTCAGATGGCATATAGTCTTTTCCTAGGCCTGTCTTGGAGATTCGGTCAGAACTTGGACTGCTCAACCTAGACAGTGAAACAGGGCTGTTATTGTATTCATTTTCATGAGGGCTCATGATCTTCCCATCTCTTTGCTGGAGGTGATCACCAGGAGAGCTGTTGGCCATGGGCAGAGGGCGGCAGACAATGTTGGACAACTGTTGCTGTTGTTGCTGCTGCTGGTAACTCATGTTGAAGCAAGCACTGTGGATCTTGCCCACTCCGTTCATGGGTTGCAATTGCTCTGAGGTCATTTTTCTCAGTTGGAGCCTGCTCTCCTCCTCTTTGATCATCTGCTGCGTGGCTCTTATCAGAGTTTCAATTTTGCTTGGCTCCTGAGGGCTGCTCTGGTACTTTTCATTATGGTACCTGTCCCCAGACTCACTGGCAGAACAAGGGTCTGGTGAACTGACAACACTCTCTTCATCCCAGCGCCCTCTTCCTGCATTAAAAAGAGAGGAACAATAGTTTACTTCTCTTCTAACACATTGCACTAGCATTTCATTCCCACATGTATTGTTTCCCACTATGAATTCATTCCAGTCCTCCAAAGTGTGAAATTGTTAATTAATGTACACAGAGTGTTTTCTTTAGCAACTTTTAAAAACATTTTACTCCCATAAAGTTTGTTCTGATCAAGATGTGGGATATTAGTGCTGGAAATTATACAATTTCACACTGAAGAACAGCCAGGTCAAGTTCAATATGGTTTGGATGCAGGGTAAAACTTCTTGTACTATGTCCCAACAATATGCCTCAATTCAAGCAACAGGAAAGAAATCCCCATTGCATCATATTGATATTCTCCATTTCCCTGCCAGTCATCCTGACATTTCTTTGATTAAGATTGAAGATTTAGAGCCACCATGTCTTGTGAGATCACCGAGGAGTGGAATGAAACCAGTCTGACTCACTTCAAACTGGATCTTTACAGTAAACTGAGAGGGAAGATTTTTATCATGCGAATCTGGGCTGGAATCAAACCCAAGCCCCATAGTTTGATGAAACAACTGAATAAATTACTTTTGTTAGTGAAATATTGAGTTAATATCAACAATCTTTTATTTCTAATTACTTAAATATTACTTCAATGAAATGTAATGGAGATTATTTAACATCAAAAATATTAACATACTGCCATTTAATGTAATAACAATCCTTGCGTTTGATATAGTGCTTTATCACATCTTCGAGACATCTCAAACAGTTTCACAGAATATACTATAAAGTGAATTGACTGTGTATTTTGTGGGCAAAACGCAGCAGCCAATTGCGCACAGCAGTGTCCCACAGTGTTGTGGATTGAATGATCAAGTTATTATTTTATTTTATTTATTTTGAGGGATTATTACTCCCGGAAAAGCAATCCACCAATCAACTAACAACCAGGTTCCTACTTACTGCTAGGTAAACAGAGGTGTGTGGAGTAAGAAAACGTGCCCAACGTTTAACCCTGTCAGGAATCAAACCCAAGTCCTCTCACTTGCGAGGCAAGTCCTCTAACCACTAAGCAATTGTCCTCCCATCACATTAAATGTGTTCAGAGTGAGTCCTGGCCTCAATCACCATCACTGCTATCCTATTACCAGTTAGTATCGTATTCCCACTCGGATCCCTCTGAGTACAGAAATACTTCCTGGTGTCTGTCCTGAAATTGCCCTTTTTTTTTGGATTTGATATCAACACTCATTTGTAATAAAGTATGCCATATTCTAATACCTCTGTATTAAAAAAGTCTTTTAACCTCCCTTTTTCAGTAGTAATCTTCAATGTCCTCTTATTACAGACTCATCAGTGCGTGGAAGTAATAATATGTTATTTTTTGGTAAATGCTGACTGCTTGTTTGCATTGGAAATAAATCCTGTGTACACATTCAATTATGAAGATGTGTACTTGTGGATTTAGGACAGACATACACCTCTGAAGCAGCTTGGCATCTGTAATAGTTGTGTACTCAAGGCTATCTTTCATCCAATCAGCACTCATTATTCAAATAGGAGCAGACCAGATTAAAATTAATTTCAGTAATAGTGCATCAATAATACTTTCATTCAAAATTTTGCAGCCCACATTCTTTTCATATACCTATCACCACCATACTTGCCAAACTCTATTTGCTCCCAGTGCCTCAGAGGATTGAGTTTAAGAGTTTGCTTACAAAATACAGAGTCACTACATTTTACAGAAAATCCTGTGAAGCTCTCTGTGATGTTCTTCAGCCATATGTCACAAAACTATGGAATTCTCTGCCTCAAACCCTCCGCCTTGCCGCACCCTTGCCCATCTTCAGATTGCATATGAAGACTTCCTTTTCGACTGTGGTGTGATCATCTCCTCCCCCCTATTTAGTGGTTCAAGCTCTGCCACTGTTAAGCCCTTCAAGATTCTGCCCAATGTGAAGGCTGCTACATAAATTGTTGCTGTTGTTCTCCTAACATGAAAGGCTTTATATCAAACACAAGGAATATTATAAGATTCTTATCCTGGTCTTCAAATCCCTTCTGTCTCACTCCATTCTGTTTCATCCCAAACTAGAGTCCAGCCCATTTCTTTACCCTTCCAACCCTGGTTTATTGCTTGCTCCCTATTCCTTTCATTCCAACATCGTTGATCGAGCTTTCAGCCACTATTGCCTTTGTTGAATGGAATTTTCTTTCACAACTGGTTAGTTCCTTCGTTTCCTATTGTCAATAACCTTTGAAAAACAATCTCTTTGACTCTTTGACCGTGCTTTTGGTCAACATCATTAAACATCTCATTTCCCTGCTCTGTGTACACCAACCATTACATTTGTCAAGTGGTTTCAAACTCTCCTTTAAGTGAAAAGCACTCTGTATACAAATGCAAGTTGTTGCTGTAGGTACCAATATATTTCAATATGTTTTGTTGACTTCATACAGCAATACAAATTATTAAACACTAGGATCAACCTCAATGCTCTTCTCTACATTGCCTCCAGTGCTTGGGCAGCTCCATTATGGTGTGGTGATCAGAATTGTATACAGTAATTCAAGTGCAGTCTGACCAGAGCACTGCACAAAGTAAGCATAACGTCTGGGGGATCTGAATTTACTGATTTTGCTAACATAACACAACATCCTGCTTGACTTGTTTATTATTGCTTCACACTGTTTGGATATAGGGTATGATGAATCACCCAAGACCCCTAGGTCTCTTTTAAACTCCACCTTCACAAGTGCTACTCCATCTATGGCACCCTTGTCTCTCAAAGGGCCTATAAATAATTAATATTAAAAGTTGATTTTTGTTCACAAAATAAAAATCCTTTTTTTTCTGACAAAAAACAAGACAATTAGGGGGAGGGTGGAAATTCAACACAAGAAACACAGGATACATTCGCTGAAAATAGGAAACCTCTGCTTAACAGAGCAATCAATGTGATACTTGTGCATTCCCAGAACCAGCTTACTTGGCAGGGTGAAACCTTGGGTAAGTTTCCTTATTCCACACATCTGATAATAATCCCTCAAGAAAAAAACAATATTAAATTGGTCACTTCAATCCATGACTGTTTGTGGGACACTGCTGTGGGCAATTAGCTGCTGCATTTCGCCCACAAATATACAGTCAATTCAATTCACAGTCTATTCTTTGAAGCGCTTTGAGACATCTAGAAGACGTGAAAAGTGCTCTATCAAATACAAGGATTATTATTATTATTAATTGCAGGTGCTTCATATTGCACACGTATTCACGGAATACATCAATTGCATGCACATCACATTGCGCACAGATTTCAGGAACCAGCATGCAATTATTTGAAAATGTAAACTTTGCACTGAAGAGGAAAGCTGTTCCATACATCATTTTTTCTATATACCTTCCCAATCCCAGAAAATGCAAGCTGCTTTATTTGTAAGCATTTTTTCTCATGAGTACCATTGAAACTTATCCACTAGTTAACAATAACAAATAAATTGGATGAGTGAGATGGCTTAACACAAACTTATAGAGTTTACTGTAGCTTTTAGAAAGTTATTGCTCTGCTAATGATTCTTCAATTAAATGAATTGAGCTATTTACTGTACAAAGCAATTCAACCCACCATTCAAATCTGTGATTACCGAGCAACAACAGTGAGGTGAATTTCTGATGAGAACAATTCATTAATATTGACCCTTTTTTGTTTGTCAAACGGAACCCAGTTTTCATAATACCCGACTGCTTCTTGACAAACCTATGTGGCTAATCTTAAAATGGGAACCCAGGCATTTACAGGACCAAACATTTCCTGCACTTTGCTATCTCTCACACTTATTAAACAATTTATTTGCAAAATAACTAACCAATTGTCCTCTTATATTTTCTACTAAAAACTTGTCTTCCTCTTTTGCAGTTGCCTTACCGTGAATACTGGGAATAGAAGCTATATGTGGCACATTGTTTTCATATCCCTCTCTGCTTTCAGGAGACGACTTTGTCAGAGCCAATGCCATACGGGAAGTGCTCCACCAACCTTCTCTCCCAGACTGCTGGCCGCCAAGAAAGTATCTGCCAGCTTCGCACCTCCCTCCATCACACAAGGACGTGTGAAAGTGGGACGGCCTTTCCTCCGCAGTTCTGGAGTGGTCAAGGCCAAAGCCATAGCACAGGGAATTTCTGTCAGAGAATTGTCCATAGGCACAGGAGATGTCATTGTGCTGAGAGTGGGGCTGAGAGCCCTCTGTGTGATCTAGTAATTGTGGGGAGGCAGTATCTGTTAATGGGCTTCCACCCCACTGGCTGTCATGGTCTGATTCGGAGCGTTCAGTGTGAAATCCAGAATACTGCAAGAATAAAGGAGAAAGAGTAAGTCAGATTTACAGAATGGACTGCAAATCTGTGTTTTATTTTCATTTATAAACACATGTGCTTAGAGTTTGTATCAGATTACATTTTTTAAGTACTGTCATCTGCTTAAATTTTGCTTGCCTATAAATGCCGCATGGGGAGGGCTGCATTAATGGGGGGAGGAGGAGTATATAAATCATTAAAACGACAATAACTTTCAATTATATAGTGCTGTTCATGACGTTTGAATGCCTCAAAGTGCTTCCAAGGACAACAGGGAGCACTGAGCAGGGAGGAAAGAATAGAGAATTTAAGGGTGTTGACCAAAGGCACAGTCAAACATTTTTAGGAGGCTAAGTTTTCACAGAGCAGGTGAAAGCTGCAAGAATAAACCCAGGATAAAATGCAACTGAAAAATAGTTTCTGTGTGTCTTGCAAATGATACACGAAACAATTCACTGACCCAGAGATTAATGGAACAAGTGGAATACCAAATTTAGTATTCCAAATTTGACTGATGAGGCATCGGCCTACAAAATGCAGACACCACACTTTACAGTAAATCCTGCAAAACACTTTGAGATGTCCTCCTGACATGAAAGGTGCTGAATCAAATGTAAGGTTTTTTTTTAGGATGTAAATGTAATGTAATCATCTAACTCAACATGGACTTACTCACACTTAAATAATCTGCATATCATTCCATTGTGTTTTCCATTGTGTATCTATTTGCTATTCAACAGGCCTCAGCTGCTTACAGAGCCAAAGCGGTGAATTTCATTTACTGTTGGTGAACTTAATGTTGTTGCCATTGCTGAGCGATCATCCTTTACTCTTTCTAATTCTACTTCCTGACAATTATCATCAAAGCAGTGGAATTAATAACCACGAAGACTGATCAAAAGTGTTATCTTGTAGCCCACCAAGAGCAGACTTGTGGGACATGATGGAAACATTAACTGCAGGTACATGCCAGAAACAAGGAGGATTCGAAAACTGATCTCTTTTGTTGTTCCACTCACGTTGCCTATAAAATTAATTGTTCCTTGGTTCAGAAATAATCTTAATTTTCTCATCCCATACCTTTGGATATTTTTAATGACATTTTAGGAGGAACTACTTTTGCCTTCTTCTCCCCACTCCCCAACCACACCCACAGCCCCAGTTTTTGGGTTCCATTTTGGAAATCTACTGAGGAATTAAGTGAGACAGTCTGGGGGCTCACAGTCTCAGATACAAGATCACAAGATCGGTTTGGATGAAGAAGGCCCTTCAATCCATCTGACCTCATCCTTCCTGAATACCCAACCTCCCATTTTTTAAAAAATGAGCCAGGCCTCAAAACACTGTCCTCGGCTACCTGTTCCAGTGGGAAAAGAAAACCTTCCTGGTATCTCTCTGAAGTTGCCCTTTGGAACTCTAAATCTACATCCTCTGGTTGTATTGTTTTGGTGCATCCTAAAGTTGATCTTTTAAAGTTTGATTGTTTTCTGTTCCAGTATTTCTATGCAGCTCAAATCTTGAAAAACTCATGAATAAAATTTACGATCAGTTTGAGGTGCTGATAATGACATGAATGCATTTAGTTTCTGTCCTGCTTTGCGAAAGCTAAGGCAACTTAAGCTTATGTCACAGACATCTTTGACACTGCATAACGAAAACAGGTGAACATGGTGAACTTAGTGTACAGCCACAATTAAGTCACATTATTTGACTTCCCTTTCAATTAACGCGTATTCATACTGTTATTGTTTTTTTGGGATTCTACACTTTATGGATTTTTAAAAAAAATTATTTAGTTATTTGAAATAGTTAAAGTGGGTTATGACGGGTAGGCCTGTAGCAGTTAATTAGCTCTCAGCAGTGAATGTAATTACACCTATAAAAATCTCGCGCAAACAAATTTCTGTTAACTTTTATGCTCATCAATTTCTGTGAATATTTTTTGTCATTCAATACTTACAATGAAATACAATATACCATACATCTATATAGCACTTTTTACGTTGAGAAGACGTCTCAAAGCATTTATGTTTATTTAGGCAATCAGTGAAAATTATTCCATCAAGGACATTACCTTCGAGATATCACTGAGCCCAATGTCATGAAGAACTAAATATAGAAACATTAACAATTTCAGGCAACAGTAAGCCATTAGGTTCAGCAAGCCTGTCTATCCAATTTTCCAGAAGGGATTTCTTCAATGATTCTGAAGTTACAAGCTAAAACTGAATGTACGTGTTAATATCTTTTGACTAGTGCTGTTACAACTAAAATACAGGATTAATGAAGTGGAAGTTGCAAAAGCAAACCAAAGAACAACCAACCTACTTCGAAATGCACTGGTCCATTAATGCACTGTGTCTTGTGACTCTTGTCAGGTCTGCTACAAAATCTTGCTTCAAAAATCAAAGGGGAATGGAGCAGAAATGAAAACAATTTACCTGAGGGTAAGGGGATGACCTTGGTTTTGATTTTGTTCGGGTAAGACGGGACTTGCTGGTTTTTCTTGAGTCAGTGATGGTTGGAGTCGAATTTGCATAAGTGAATGATGGTTTTGTTGCTGCTACTTGATCAAGTGAGAGTTGCAATCCTTTGTATTCTGCATCCCTAAAAACAGTCAGACCATAAATCCTGTTATATACAATAGCACATAAAATACACAGATATATCTCTAATAACACCAGACAGAATTATCATTGCTGACTCAGCCTCCCCCACACCCTGACTCAGAGCCAGGCACCACCACTATTAAGCGCTCTGAGACATTACCCTGCATGGAGCGTGCTATAAAAGTGAAAATTGTTATTGTTGCCTTCTTGTCCTACTGCCTTGGCGTGCAGCATTGCTGTATACAAATTGAATGCTGCTTTCACCTACAAATACACAGGCATTGCATTTTACAGCGAAATCCTGTGAAGCATATGCCAGAGGCAGCGGGTAGTGGATTGGGGGTTAAGCAGGTTGGATAGGTAGGGAGGTGCGAGAGTATGAAGGGATTTGAAAACGAGTGAAAGAATCTTGAAATATGCTAAATACATAAATTCTTTCAAAAATAAATAAAAACAATTTGATCACTCAATCCACGACTGTTTATGGGACACTGTTGTATACGTTTTGCCCACAAAATATACAGTCACTGTACTTTACAGTATATTCTGTGAAGCCCTTTGAGACGTCTTGAAGATGTGATAAGGCACGATATCAAATGCAAGGATTATTATGATCATTATTATGAAGTGTTTAGAGACATTTTGACGATGTGATTAAATAATGTCAAATGCAAGGATTATTATTATTTTCTCAAATAAACCTCTGCAGATCAAGTCAGCACTCAATTGGCTAAATAATTTGATGTTTGGTAGCGCTAAAGAGCTCGGAATTTCAAATTTCAGAAAATGCACAGGTTAAAATAAGGACACATAGAACAGATGATACTTCATAACATATACCTGCCAATATGAGGTTCACATATAAAATAAAATGTGAATAAAGTAGTATCTTGGCCAAAAAAAAAGAGAAACTCTATGCAAAAGTGACCAACACAAAAGCTTTGTTGATTGTAACAGGGAAACTATTACAGTGAAAGAGTGAGTATTACAGCCTTCCTTTCAGCAGCTCATCAAGATCTTCATCTCTAGCATGCCAACATGTTGAATTGAAAGTTTCTACTATGTTAAAAGCAATTAAAAAACATTAGCGGAGAGAAAAAAAAGAGATTCAGGTACATTTTAGAATTTGTCAATGAGCTCGGAGAATTTATTGCTTGCCTCGAATTCACTTGTGCTCAAAGGCAAGAAAAACGAGGCTTACTTTCTGCTGGATGCTTGCCCATCAGGTACTAACTATCGTACAGTTTACTAAATCACCATAATATGCGATTTGATCATCAACGGTTATAACATACATCATACAGCCAAGTGACCTGTTCCTAGGCCTCTGCCAATACATGCTCTGAACTAGCTGCCAATTGGCACATGTGAATGGTCAAGGAACGATCGTGCTTCCTTCCCTGTGCTTCAAATGAGCACCTTCCCACAGCAACACAATCCCAAATCACAGCATTGTGTGAACATTGTTCACAACAAGCTTGCCTTTATTAGATCATGGTAGCTCTTTATACTTGTATTCTCATTTTCCTTCATTTTTCTCCATATCCCTTAATTGCCCTAATTCCAAATAATAATGGAGTCCTGTAGCTTGGTGTTTGGAACACTTGCCTCTCAAGCAAAAGACCTGGGTTCGATTCTGGCAGGGAGAAATGTTGGGCAAGTTTCCTTACTCCACATGCCTCTTTTTATGTAGCAGTAAGTAGGAACCCGGTTGTTAGTCGATTGGCAGATCACTTTTCCGGGGTTATTAATCCCTTCAAAAAAATAAATAATAATAAATTGGTCACTTCAATCCATGGCTGTTTGATGGACACTGCTGTGTGCAATTGGCTACCACGTTTCGCCCACAAAATACAGTCAATTCACTTTTCAGTATATTCTGTGAAGTGCTTTGAAACGTTGCAAAAATGTGATAAAGCGCTATATCAAATGCAAAGATTATTATTATTATTATAACACTGGCAAATATTAATCTATTTGCCTTGAAAACTCCTCAATCACTTCTGCATTTATGGGTTCAGGGGTAGTGCATCCCACATCCTCGCAACACGAGGATTTGAATTCTTCAGGTTTCACTGGGGAATTGGACCTGTGAAACTTGTGTCCTATCATCCCGTGACTCTGCCTATTGGTGCTCCAATGCAATACTGTGCATTCAACTTGTTTGTATCCCTGTAAAAATCCATTCCAAAAAGTATAAAATGCATTATCTGTGTGATTATCTTACTTTTCAAAACAAAATTACAAATTTTGAAGTGGCAAGGAGCAAGATTCGAATGATACCTAACCTATCAAAGCTGAATTCAATCATCCCATCCAAGCATGTTATCACTCACCCACACTTTCATCACCTCCAGGTTCAACTAGATCAGTAACCTCCTCTCCAGGCTCCCCAAGCTGCAGATCATCCAGAACTCTGCAGCCTGTCTTCTCCAACACCAGGTTCATGAGCCCATTGCCCACATCCCCGCTCAGCTCCTTTGGCTCTCCATCCTCAAGCGGATCAAATTTGAGATCTTTGTATTGTCTTCCAAATGCCCCCATGGCCTCATTTCACCCTCTGTGATCTCATGTAATCCTACTGCCCTGGCCACTCCTTCAGTTCAGCAAACTCAAGCCTGCTTCATATCCCACTGCACTTGCTCCACTGTATCATCACTGCGCTAGCTTTGAGCTACTCTGCTCCCTAGAACTCCAACTTCAAGTAACTCTGCCTTGCCCTCACCCTCTCTCTCTCTCTCCAAAACCTGCCTTAGGACCTATCTCTTTCCCTCTTCTTTCAGCCACCTCTGCTCCCCCCAGTTCAGGTTCCCAGTCAGGTGTGTGAAGCACTTTAAAAGGTGCTATATACATTTAAATTGTTTATAACAGCAACAACAAGACAGAATGTCTGTCAGACATCAAGTCCTGGATGAGAGCTAACTTTCTTCAGTTGAACGTCAACAAGACCGAGGCTCTCCTCATTGGCTCCCATCAGCGCCTCCACACCTCAGGTTCTGATAGTATCACCATCCATGGTTGCACACTCCACCTTGCTAAGCCAGTCCGGAACCTTTGGGTCTTGTTTGACTCTCAACTATCCTTTCTACCCCACATCTGCGCCATGACCCGCTCTGCCTTCCCCCACCTCCGCAACATCGCCCAAGGTTTCGCCCTGCCAGGAATCACACTGACACTGTCTCACACCGCAGGCCGCCAAAACTCTCATGCACGTCTTCATTACATCGAGGTTCGACTATGCAAACTCATTGCTTGTCGGCCTCCCCAACTCCTCTCTCCACAGGCTGCAGATCATCCAGAACTCTGCAGCCCGTGTCTTCTCCCGCACTAAGCTCCGTGACCCTATCACCCCCGTCCTTGCCCAACTCCACTGGGTTCCCATCACACAGAGGATACAGTTCAAGATCCTAGTCCTCACCTTCAAAGCCCTCTATGGTCTTGCTCCCCCTCCTAACCCTCTACCATCTTTTTCGTTCCTGCCCCCCACCCTCTGAAACTCCATCCTGCAGTCCCTCCGTCTCGCCCCCTCCCTTGCCGCCTTTAAGGCTCATCTCAAAACCCTCCTCTTCAAACGTGCTTTTGATCTCCCTGCTTCCCCATCTGCCCTCCACCTTCCCCCACCCTGACCCCCAGCTCGGGTCTGTAACTCTGTCTGTCCAGTGCCTTCGGATGTCCTCATGACGTGAAAGGCGCTATACAAATGTAATCTTCTTCTTGTTGTTGTTGAAAAGCGTTATACAACTGTAATGTTGTTGTTTATGTAACATTGCAATTTATTCCTAAATAACACAAATCTTTATCTGAATCCAATAAAACTATGATATAGTGTAGATAATCTCTTATTAATCACTGTTGTGCGCTCTGATACAGCCTTGAATATTAACAACATTGCAATAAGAAAAACATATTATATGTATTATATAAAGTGCTTGAATTGCTTGGTGTCTCAGTAGCCAACAAAGCATAGTTTTTCTCGGTGAACACGGAAGAACACAGTTCCCCTATATCCAGGGTGATGTGTGACACCTGTGAGACTTCAGAGAGAGTAGGGTGGCTGCAGACATTTCTTTAGACATGGGCTCTACCCAAGAGTCAGTCTGCTATTAGAAAGTAATGATGCATTTTATAGAGCCATGGCTAACAGCAAAAGTAATCAAGTCAATAGACTAGTTAAACCAATGGTCAACAACTAAAACTCAGAAAAAAGATAAAAACTGGAAGCTGCAGCCTGGATTGGAGTCTTTGAGTGAGCGTGAATGAAACCTACCACCTGCGGCCTAGACTCCCTCCCCACCAACTTGCTGGTCACCCAGCTCCCCCTCCTCTGCTCGCTGCTGGCTGACATCATCAACCAGTCTCTCTCCTCTGGATCAGTACCTGCCTCCCTCAAAACTGTTGTCATCACCCCCCTCCTCCAAAAACCTTCCCTAGATATCTAAAACCTCAGCCACTACTGCCCTATTTCTAACCTGCCCTTCTGCGCAAAAGTCCTAGAAAGCGTTGTTGCAAATCAACTCCGCGCACACCTCTCCTCCCACCCCCTCTTCGAACCCCTCCAGTCCGGTTTCCGCCCTGCCCACAGTACAGAGACTGCGCTTGTGAAAGTCACAAACAACATTCTCTCTATCTGTGACCAGGGTTCCCTCTGCCTCCTTGTCCTCCTGGACCTCTCCGCCGTTTTCGACACAGTCGATCACGCCATCCTCCTCCACCGCCTTTCCTCCGTCATCCACCGCAGTGGGACCGCACTCGGCTGGTTCGAGTCCTACCTCACAAACCGCCAGCAGTACATCTGCACAAATGGCTTTTCCTCCCCCTCTCACCCTTGGCCCCCTCCTCTTTCTGATCTACATGCTCCCTCTTGGTGATGTCATCCGCAGACATGGGGTACACTTCCACATGTATGCAGACAACACCCAACTCTATTTTTCCACCTCTCTTTGTGACCCCCAGTCCCTTGATGTTCTGTCAGCCTACCTGTCAGACCTCAGGAGCTGG